GTCTCTTTAACATCAATGTTTCCCTCTTTTTTCTCTCTCCCTCCCTTCCGCTCTTCCTAAAAATCAATGGAAACATATATCCTCAGATGAGAATTAACAAAAAAGAAAAGGTTTCATAAAGGTTTACCTATATGAACTTCATACTACTACTTAACACTTGTTAAGAATTTACCACGTTATCTTCCTTAATGCTCACAACAATATATGAATATGAGGCAAAGTATCACAGGGTATCACCTCTCTTTCACAAATGAAGAAACTAAAGCTCAAGTCAGAGCTGAGACTCACACCCTAGTAACTCCTAGAACAAGTTAGGTATGAGATCTGAAAGTTGAGGAGTTGGCCAGAAAGAAAGAGATGCTGCTTGGATAGTGTTGCAAGTGCAGGGTAAGTACAGAGAACAGAAGCTGAGAGCAGCAGAGGCCAGATCATAGATGGCCTCCTAAGTACCCTGATGGAGTTTCACTGTATGCTGCTGGTGATGGAAAGCACGAGAAGGTTTTCTATAGAACAGTAGCAAGAAGGGATTTGCCCTTCAGAAAGCTCATATTAGCTGCAGCAAGCAAGAGTAGACTGAAGGGGGTGGAAACAGAAGACTCATCATGGGGTTATATAAGGAAATGTGGCCTGGTAGTGGTCTGAATAATAGCAGTTAATATTTTGAGCCCTGTCATTTCATTTTAATCATTGCAACTCTATGATGTAGATATAATTATCCCCTCATTTAGCCGAAACCAGTTTGGATCAGTGGATAGAGCATCAATCTGCAGACTGAAGGGTCCCAGGTTCGATTCAGGTCAAGGGCATGTACCTTGGTTGTGGGCACATCCCCAGTAGAGGGTGTGCAAGAGGCAGCTGATCAATGATTCTCTCTCAGCGATGTTTCTAACTCTCTCCCTTCCTCTCTGTAAAAAAATCAATAAAATATATTTTTAAAAATAAAAATAATTATCCCCCCATTTAATGGATGGGAAGCCTAAAGAACAGAAAAGCTAAATAATTTGTCCAAGGTCACATGATAAGTAGTGGCAGTAGAGCGAGGTAGGAACCTTGGAGAAATATTTAAGAGGTGGTTTGGTCATGTCTAGGTGACTATTCAACTCATATTATTGATTTTGGGAGGATGGCTAAAGGAGCAGGAATTATCAAGTATGATATGCAAATTTCTAGCTTGGAAAACCAGGTAATGAATGAGTCAAGTTAGGAAATGCAGAAGCAAGGGGTGGTAGTGGAAAGTGGTAGGTTCAGTTTGAGTTTTGATTTTCACGTTCCTGGGTAGTTTCCAAGTGGCGATATCTACAATGCAGCTAGCTGCAGGGGCTGGTGTGACCCTCCAAAAAAGACTTTAATGTCATCAGCCTCAACCTCTCCCAGAAGCAAAATCAAAACCACGTTTGGAGAAGCTGAAAACCATACAAACTTTGAACATGGAGCATTTAGAAAAACTCCAATGGCTTTAACTACAAAACAATATTAGATCACCACAGGATAGTTTTCCCCTATTAATTTTATTCCGTTATTTTTTTATTAATGGCCCTTTATCTTGAAGTCTACAGAGAAGCAGGGCCCAAATTGTCTACACTGCAGTCTTTTTCTCCCAGGGCATAGGAACTCTTCTTTGTACAACACTAACTTCCGAAGCACTAGGGAACCATTTAACAAATGATCATTTCAGTGCCCTCAGTGGGGTCCTAATCTGGAAGCATGCCCTAAGCAATCTCAAGCCTCCTAGAGAACAAAGAGGAAATCTGCTTTGTTAGAATAATAGGGAAATACTAACACATCAAATTGCTTTAGAGGGAAGGCTCCAGGTGAATTCCTCCTGGTGAAATGGCATTTTCCTTCCCAGAAATTAAAAATGCAGAGCTTATAGATGGAGAAATACGTTTTTAAAAAATGCTTTGATAACATTTCTTTTCCAAGTCTTGGCTATGAGATTATTTCAGTTTTTCTTCCATGTTTGTATCTTTGCCCAATTTAAAAGCACTTCCACTCTTTACCTCTGCCTAGACTAGCTCCTTATTTAAGAAAAGGTTTCATAAGAGAAAAATTACTGGTAAGTCATTTGAAAACTGTGGCCACACCCTGGTAACACATAATCACTGCCTTAGGCAGATGGTGCAACTGTGTCATGAATAGAGAGCCTTTGACTGTTTCTAAGAGGTATTTGTTCTGGAATCCCAGCACCGGTTCAGTAGAAATTGTTTAATAGATACCAAAAAATGTCTCCTTAAAGCCACAAGGCCTCCTTTCATTTTTCCTTTTGGATGTGTGTGTTTGTTGTCTTTTTTTTCTTTTCTCTTCTCCAACAAAGCTAATGAGTCAATCATTCATACCAAATATGTCCATGTTGCCTTGCCACCAGCCTAATCTTCATGGGAAATTGTTCAAGTTTTTGCATCTTCCCAAACATGGCAATATCCAAAGAGTTCACCAATGTGTGAACACAATGTATTCCCAAATTACAATAAGAACATCTGTACAAAGGAATGAATGTAAAGAATAACTGCATCCAATTTTAGTGAATCTGATGAAAACCCATTTTATGAATCCGGGCTGGATTACTAAAATAATTCTCAGGTTTTTTTTATTTTATTTTAAAAATTATACTTTTAATTATAGAATATTGTTAGAATAATACAGATATAGACACTAGGATAACTGACCGATACCATAAGGAAAACTGTTCTACATACTTACTTGTTCATTCACTCTCCACAACCATAGAAAACAGGCACAACGTGTTCAGGGGATGTGCAGAAGCAGCCAGAGTCTTGGGGAGCAGAAGGCATGCAAAGAGAGTCTGATGCATAACTTCTACACAAAGTTCAACATATGGGCAGCAATTGGTAGAAAAAGAGGAGAAAGCTGGCCTGGCCCTTGCCCTGGAGTGTATATATTTAGTGAGATGGCTGGGGTACTTAGGAGCCAAAAGCAGCAACAGGCGCAGTTTGGGGTTGGGGCAGGAGAGAAGGGAAGAAAAAGGGAGTGAAATACAATTAGGTCATGAAGATGCTGTCTTCTGTGGCCACTCCAAAACAGAAACAGGAGAGCTTTGATGTTCATTAAAACCATCAGCAACACTGATATGGTAAAGACATATTTGAGTTTAGTCATTCAGAACATGTAAGTCATCCAACAATTAAAATATGAATACCCACAGTCGGCTAGATTTTGTATCGAACAAAAAACATGCTTCTTGCCCAAGTTTATATTAAATAGGAGTGGCAACAGAAAGAAAGCTCCTTGGTGGAGTGGTTTTTCATTTTGTTACTTTCGAGATAGTGTCACTTGTAAGCGATGAAGTCCCACACAGTTGTGGGTCATAATTCATTACAGTACTTGACCCTAGAGACCATGAACTCTTTAACACCAAGTCCCAAAGAGCTATGGCAAAAGTAGTTTTCAAATGTTACAACTTTCATAATAAAGCACAGTAGAAATAACTTGAGACACGCTAAAAAAAAAAAAAAATTTCCGTGAGTCCCATATCTTGGGCATCAATTTTCTTCCACTCACACCCCTAAGTACTGGGATAAGCACCAACATTTGGGATATTTCTTAATTCTTATTTAGGCTGAGATAAGGAAAACTGACTCTACTGGGCTTACATTGGGTCAACTCTTATTTTAACCATTTATATCTGTAGGCTGACAGGATGAAAATACATTCCTATAGGCTTATTAATTCCTTGTCACTAGCCCAAAGAGATGCTCAGTCTGAGAACAGGACAATCAGTTATCTCCCACAATTGACTGTTAGATATAAACAAGTGTGTAGTTCTGTACAAAGACAGATCTTACAAGAGTGCACATCAAAGCATTAGTGTTTAAATTTTTCATTATAAAGAATGAAAAAAAAAAGGACATTTATCAATTGGAGTGTGTCTGCAGTTCTGTCGCACAATCAACATCACCCAAGAACATGCTAATTCTGTGTGAATTCAATTTCTGCTATTGGAAAAACCACAGGAATACACATTTTTCTGTACATACACATGCTCTTATGCAAGCTAAGAGAAACACTGGGATGTGGCCCTTATCAAATCCTAGAGTTAGCAGTATAGGGAGAATTGATCTTAAAGGGTAGAGGGGAAAGTACACAGAAATGACCTGTGTTCTTTGGGAAGGGACACTGTGTTTCCTTCCCTGAAATTGTCAAATCCACTTGCTCATTACACTCCACCAACACTTATGGTCCTATCTTTCCTTGAAGACATTTTCCCTACAATGTTCTCTAGAATGATCCCCGAAGAAAATTAATAAATTCTGACTGGCAATAACAACAGTGGGTATCACTTCCTAAAGTCCATTGATGAGTCCTTGTCTCCAAACCTGTGTTTCATTTATCCTGGCAATCTGTATCTTCAGTTAGCTTTCACAAAGATGCAAGCTTTTAAAAAGTTAATTAGAAACAATGAGAAGGAAAAATGTTATGATCACTGCCTTCATCATGCAGAATCCAGCTCTCAGGAAGTCAAAAAGGTACAGGTGCATGAACAACTCAAGGACAAAGCCTTTTGACTTGTAAGAGGTGTGTGCCCAAATACTATGGTAAGTGAATAAGTGTGGCAATTCAGGCAGTCTCTTATCTTTCTCCAAAGCAGCTGTGATCACCCTATTACAGTCCAACATTTCCCCTAGCACAGTTTTTCGAGCTAAGGAGAAATAACTTTTTAAAATTTACTCTATTTCCAGTCCTGAGCATTTACTAGCATTTATTATCTAGACTTCAGAGTTCCAGTTACTTGTGTGGCTGATTTCAATGAAGTACTTCATTAATGTTAAGTGAATAAAAATCAGTTTTGGAGAGGGAATAACATCCCTAAAGCCGTGGGTCAGAATTTCAAATGGCTTGTCTTCTTTGATGTTTTAAACTGTGGTCTACAAGAAAATTCAGTATAGTATAAGAAACTCAGTCTTAAAAGAGCTCTTTGATATCAAATAAAATTGTACCTTCAAATGAATTGTTTCTCAGTCATAATTCAGGACTTACAGGGCTTAGTCAGTATGAACTCTCTTATGTTTAATAAGAGCTGAGCTCCGGCTGAAACTCTTCTCGCATTCAGTACATTCGTAAGGTTTCTCTCCAGTGTGCACTCTCTGATGTGTGATGAGGTTTGAGCTCTGGGTGAAACCTTTTCCACACTGCACACATTCATAAGGTTTCTCTCCTGTGTGGGTCCTCTGGTGTTTAATTAGATCTGACCTTTCGCCAAAGCTTCGCCAACACTCATTGCACTCATAGGGCTTCTCTCCAGTGTGAATTTTCTGGTGTGTGATGAGATGAGAACTCCGGCTGAAGCTTTTCCCACAAGCGTTACATTCATATGGCTTTTCCCCTGTGTGGGTTCTCTGGTGCTGAACCAAGTGTGAGATGCGGCTGAAATTCTCTCCACATTCATTACAGTGATATGGCTTTTCTCCTGTGTGGGCTCTGCGATGGCGCACAAGGTCAGAGTTCTGACTGAAGTTCTTCCCACATTCATCACACTTGTAGGGCCTCTCTCCTGTGTGGACTCGATAGTGTTTGATGAGATCAGATCTCTCACTGAAGCCTCGCCCACATTCATTACACTCATAAGGCTTCTCACCTGTGTGGGTCCTCTGGTGTTGAGCTAGGTGAGAGCTCCGGCTGAAGCTTTTCCCACACTCCTCACACTCATAGGGTTTCTCCCCACTGTGGGTCCTTTGATGTTGGATTAGGTGAGAGAGGCGGCAGAAACTTTTCCCACATTCGTTACATTTGTGGGGCTTTTCTCCAGTATGGATTGTTTGATGCTGGATAAGATGAGAGCTTCTTCCAAAACTTTTCCCACACTCATTACAGTCATAAGGTCTCTCTCCAGTGTGTGTCCTTTGATGCTGAATAAGGTGTGAGCTCCGACTAAAGCCTTTTCCACATTCATAACACTTAAAGGGTCTGTCTCCAGTGTGGGTTTTCTGATGTCGATTAAGGTCTGAGATCTGACTGAAGGCCTTTCCACAATGAGAACATATATGATATTGAATACCTGTGTGAATTTCTTTGTGGACAAGGAGATCCGTGACTTGTTGGAGAGGATAGCTTACCCACTCTTCTGCTGTTAAATCTCCCCACTCTCCTTCTGACCTATCCCTGCTTTCAAAGGCCTCTTCACTTTCAGGATTTTCCTCAGTATTCCCAACAGATCTTTCAGATGCAGTCCCAAGTTCCACATCTTCACCAATCTCTTGCTTTGGATTCACATCGTTCTCACTCCTGATCTCAAAATCTGCAATGAAGAGTAAATAATAATAATAACAATAACAATAATAAATAATAATAATAATACTGGTAAACACACAAAGAATTACCTACTATATGCCAAGCATTATGTTAAGTTCTTTACATGAATTATTACCTCAACTGCCCTGAATCAGGAATTACGATTTCTATTTTATACATGATAAACCTAAGGCTAAGAGAAATTACTTCCAAAAGGTCATGCTCTTTAAAAAAAATTTTTTTTTTAAATAAATAAAAACTAAAAGCAAAAGGTTATACTCATAGATACAGAGAACTGACTGACAGCTGTCAGAGGGGAGAGAGGTTGGGGGCCTAGGTGAGGAGGGGCCCTAGCCAGTTTGGGTCAGTGGATAGAGTATTGGCCTGCAGACTGAGGAGTTGCAGGTTTGATTCTGGTCAAGGACACATGCCTGGGTTGCAGACTCAATTCCCCTGTGGGGGTGTGCAGGAGGCAGTCAATCAATGATTCTCTCACATCATTGATGTTTCTATCTCTCTCCCTCTCCCTTCCTCTCTGAAGTCAATAAAAATATATTAAAAAGAAAAAGGTGAGGAAGGGATTAAGCAGTACAAACTGGTACTTGCAAAATCACCATAGAGATCCGAATTGCTGCATGGGGAATATAGTCAATAATATCGAGATAACTGGGTAGGCAGCCAAGTGGGTGCTTGGGTCAGCGAAAGGACCACTCTGTAGAGTGCATGGTTTTCCAGCTACTGTGCTGTACATCTGATACTGCTGTGGAATGGTATTAAATGTAAACTGTAGTTGGAAAAAAACACACAAAAGGCCATAAATGGTGGAGCCAGGATTCAAATTCAGGTCTGTATAAAAGTTTATGCTCATATCAATAGAGTTAATGGTTCTTTATTTTTTTTTAAAATTTTTTATTTTATTTTATTTTATTTTTTAAACATATTTTATTGATTTTCCACAGAGAGAAAGGGAGAGAGATAGAGAGCTAGAAACATCGATGAGAGAGAAACATCGACCAGCTGCCTCCTGCACACCTCCTACTGGGGTGTGCCCGCAACCAGTATACATGCCCTTGACCGGAATCGAACCTGGGACCTTTCAGTCCGCAGGCCGATGCTCTATCCACTGAGCCAAACCGGTTTCGGCTAGAGTTAATGGTTCTTTATAAAAATTGTATATAGTCCTGGTTTCTCAAAAGGAGAAAACCAGCCCGGTCAGTGGGCTCAGTGATTGAGCATCTACCTATGAACAAGGAGGTCACCATTCGATTCCCAGTCAGAGCACTGGCCCAGGTTGTAGGCTCAATCCCCAGTAGGAGGCATGCAAGAGGAGCCAATCAGTGATTCTCTCTCATCATTGATGTTCCTATCTATCCCTCTCCCTTCCTCTCTAAAATCAATATGTAATTTTTTTTTAAAAAACCAGAATACCAGAAACAGAGAATATGAGAGACTCCAAATTAGAATCTCTAACAGCCAAGAACCTAGATATTTTATATGCGAATGCATGTATGTATGTATATGTGTTTTTTTCTTAACTAATTAAGCCTTCATCATAATCATTATATAAATTTACTGAGAACCTACTGGGTTAGCATGGATAAAAATGAATTTTTATCTATTTCTATCAAATCTTAATTGACAGAAAAAATGACTTCCAAATGCTACTTTTTAGGGCCTTTTAATGAAAACAGGGTGGGAAGACTGGAGAACACAAAAAAGAAGCCTAGCTTAGAAATTCTTGGCATTGTCTTCAAATGAGAATCAAAATATATTACCACAGTGTACAAAAAAGCAACAACTTTCTACCAGACACTGCATTTTCCAATTGCATTTCTTAGTACACTCTTCAGAAAGAGGTAGGTATGCTGGGAGAAAAGGGTCCCAAGGATAAATTACTTTGGTAAGTGATGCATGCAACATCATCTTAGAAATTCACATTGCCTAATAACATAATAAAGGCTATAAGGAGTCTTGAGGTAAAGAGGCCTTGTTAACATTATTTAACTCACTTATTTGGGCAAATAATTTTTTTGGGGGGTGCTTCCATGTTTCCATCCCTAAGTGTTCCTTGGACTCAACCTTAAATATGTAGATTCATATTTCTTTGAGATTCTCATTTCTTATTTTTGTTGCATTAAGTGGAATATCTGGATAACAGACTGCAATAGATCTGGGTAAATAACTTAATTTCTAGTTGTTCCCTAAAGGAAGGATTCAAGAAACTTGGGATATCAGAGAAAGGCCAGTTAAAAAGAAAACATCTCACCCTGGCCAGTGTGATCAGTGGTTAGAACACTGTCCCATTCACTGAAGGATCCTGGCTTTGATTCCTGGTCAGGACACATACCTAGGTTTTGAGTTTAATCCTTGGTCCTAGTGGCAACCAATCAATTTCTCTCTCTCTCTCTCTCTCTCTCTCTCTCTCTCTCTCTCTCTCTCTGTCTCTCATCAATGAAAAAAAGCATATCCTTGGGTAATGATTAAAAAAAAATAATAAGAAAACCCCTTCTATTTGCCTTTTGTTCTGGAAAAGGCTATAGGAATAAAGGATTAGTCCTCAATGAATGGCAGATTACCTAGTGAAGCATACAAGGTAGCTAACTTCTGTTGAGTCTCAACAGGAGACAAAATGAATCTAAAAGCTGTTCAGCTCAAGAATACACTGTTTGTTCAGGTTACAACACTCAGAACAAAGGATAGCTAAGAGAACAGACAGGATTTGGCCAGTGTGGCTCAGTAGTTGAACATTGATCCATGAACCAAAAGGTCCCTAATTGATTCCCCATCAGAACAAATGCCAGGGTTGTGGGCTCGATCCCCAGTAGGGGGCAGGTGGGAAGCAGCTGATCAATATTTTTCTCTCATCAATGTTTCTAGCTCTCTATCCCTCTTCCTTCCTCTCCCTCTAAAAAAAAAAAAATCTATATTTTTTTAAAAGACATGTTTGCAGACCATCAAAAAAAAAAAAAAAAATAGCTTTCCTGCTGAAACCAGTTTTCTTGCCCACCCGGCATGGCCCAGTGATTGAGCATCGACCTATGAACCAGAAGGTCATGGTTCGATTCCCAATTCAGGGCACATGCCCAGGTTGCGGTCTTGATCCACAGCATGGGACTTGCAGGAGGCAACCGATCAATGATTCCCTTTCATCACTGATATTTCTATCACTCCTTTTCCCTTCTTCTCTGAAATCAATAAAAACATATTAAAGAAAAATTAGCTTTCCCCAATAATATAATTTGTGATCTAAGTTACTTCAGGATTTTCCTGGAACATTTGACATACTCAAAATCTAAGGTTAACTCTGAAATATCTCTAGACAAGCACCTACTCCAGATGAAGGACCTAAAGCAAAGCTAAGGCTCCGAAGCCAAAACAAACACAGAAAGGTGGCTTTTGCCCTCTAATGAATCCAGGTCAGAACCCCCTCATCTTCTGATATGCCAAGGTGGCGGATTTGATATCTGGTCAGGGTACATACAAGAATCAGCCAATGAATGCACAAATAAATGGAACAACAAATGAATTGTCTCTCTTTTCCCCTCCCCTCCCCCAAATCAATAAATAAAAATTTAAAAATAGACAATATAACTCTGATGTTCCCACTCAAACATTTGTTTGAGGACACAAGTCAATATCCAGTTAAATGCTTTAAAAGGGTTTACCAGAGCTTTCCACCTTGACCTGGAGGAAAGTGACAGCAACCCTTTGACATCGTCACAGCTGTTCCATGTCCCAAGATGAAGACACCAAGCACAGAAATACAACAACATGGATGTCCTCAACAGAGTCACAAGGCATGAGGACAGTCTACCAAGAAGAACCTGACATCTGGTTTAAAAATCAAACAACCTGCCCAGCTTATCTGGCTCAGTGGATAGACTGAAGGGTCCCAGATTTGATTCCAGTCAAGGGCACATGCCCTGGGGTTGTGATCTCAGTCCCCAGTAGGGGGGCACACAGGAGGCAGCCAACCAATGATTCTCTCTCTCATCATTGATGTTTCTATCTCTCTTCCTCTCCTTTCCTCTCTGAAATCCATAACAAAAATATATATTTTTAAAATCAAACAACTAGGTTGTGTTGAAAGAGCTAGTCTCAAAAACATGGGGTGAAGAATGGTAGAGGATCCTTACTTACCTAATGAGACAACATTTCCATAATTCTCCTGCATGACATCCCTGTAAAGGTCCCTTTGTGTAGGGTCTAGAGGTCTCCATTCTTCCCGAGTGAGGTACATGGCCATATCTTCAAATGTCACTGGTGCCTGAAATCACACAATGCTTCCTCATTATTTGACATCTCATAGATGGGTACCAGTTTTTCTCCTTGAAATTACACACATGGCTAGAATTATTGAGGAGGCAAAGGGTATTAAACCTGTCTTAGAGAGTCCAAAGAAGAAACAAACAAGCTAAAAAGAGATATAATGAAGAAGAGAGCAATTTACAAGCTAATTGCTCTGGTCCAACGGCCAGACAACCTTGCCCCACACTGAAACCTTATTCTCTAGCTGTACTTTGCTCAGAACACATTTAGCACCCTACATGGCACCATAACTTTACTCACAATGTCCCTCTTTTCCTGGAATATCTTTCTCAAACCAGAAAAATCCTATTATTCTTTTTCATGCCAGGTGAGGAAAACCACTGACAAATATTTAAGTGACAACGGATTTTAAGAAATAAAAAGAATTTTTATTTTGTAAGGAGCAAAATAAATTATGAATGGAAGCGCTGGTTCTCCTCCAGATATCCCACTTATTCTTTTAGGTCCTGTTCCAGTGCCCCCACCCCCACCCCCCCATCCCTCTGCTTGGCTCCACTCCTCCCTCGGACCCCCTCAGACAGAATTAATCACTCCCACTCCTTCCTTCTCACACCACAGCATTTTGTTTCTACAGCAAATGGAGTTCTTATCACGTTGTATCACGGTTAACCGGATGCATCTGTCTCCCTATAGACTGTGACCAGGCGAGAGAGCCCGTTTCATCCACCTTTTGTCTCCCCGGCATTTAAAGGCATACAGCAGGTGTTCAATAAATGCTTGTTTGTGGTGGCTAAACCGGTCTGGTACTGGGTTCCTGGAGGCACAATACCGAAGCGAGCTAATTACTATTTCCAGGGAATTCCCCACAGGGATTTGCAGAGCAAAGAAAACGCCAGGTGGATAAGCAGAGGCAGGGTCCGCGAAGCCACCCACGGCTTACCTGGGACCCAGCCATGAGCAGGGTGGCTGCCATCTCGGGCTCAAGGATTCGCTTCCCGGGAGAAAGCGCAGGAAAAGCAGCTAGCAGACAGCACAGCACTAAAGGAGGCGAAAAGCAGGGCGTCAGGCACAGAAAACAGGCCCTGCCCACTCCCCAGGGCTGGAGTTCTGGCCGCCAGGCGGCTGGGGAGGGCCCTGGACCCGGGCAGGATCACTCTCCTCCTAGACCCTCGAGCGCGACCCGCCCTCTGCGTCTCCGCCACCAGGAGGTGGAGGCAATGCCGGAATTGAGTAGGACAGGACAGGCCCCTGGCTCGGTCCCTCCCGCCCGGGCTCCTGCCGCTGCAGTCTCAGGGAGGCGGCTCTCAGCCCAGCCCACTGAACGCCTTGGCTCTTCCATCTCCAGCAAGAGCCCTTTCCGGCAGCTGCCTCAGCCAATCAGCGAGCGCAGCTCGAAAAACGCTCCACCAATTACGAGCCGAACACTAGGCCCGCCTCTCGTAGCAAGGCTGGACATCTCTACCGCGCCTGCGCCTGCCCCTGTGGCCTGCCGGGAGTTTGAGTTCCATGCTGGCGTACAAAGGCCAGTCTGGGGCCAAAAGCCAAGGAGGAAAAAAGAACAAAAGGGTGAAGAAAGGATCGCGTTCTCCTACTCAGGACAGGGCATCTTCTGCTTTCTTCTGATGGAGACAACAGCCCGAGTAAGAAAGGGAAGTTGCCCTGCTTCTCCTCACGTCCCTAGAAGCTTATCTTGAATCGGACCTGAATTGCGACGTCTGGCCTAATTTCGTGCTGGCCTGGGTTGGGTTCCGCTCGGATTAACACTACTTTGACAGCCGGGCCTGAGACGAAAGAGGCAGCCCCCCACTCCCCGGGGAAGATTCGGTGGCCTCGCTGGAACTTTGAGCTCCGCCCACGCACTACATCTCCCAGCAGCGCCTGCGGCGTCCGCACCCTGCTGCACAGACTACAACTCCCAAGAGGCCCCGCGCCGCCGGAGAGCTGGCGAGTGTGGCCGATGGTTGGGACGGGCGGTGTTCAAGCTCCATCGCTATTAACCCTATAGGGGAGTCTGTCTGCGTCCTTCCAAAGAGGGCGCTCCTTGAGGGGCAGGCAGAGCTGTGCCTGGCCGAGCGGGAAGCCAAAACCCTGAGCGAATGTGGGGGACCAGGGCGTGTAAAGAAAGGGAGCGAGCCAAGTCCCAGCGCTGGGCAGAACCGACCTTCTCATACCGAGGACTTCTCTGCGCAGTTTCCTGGCCGCCTTTGACACTGACGGGCCTCTGAGGGCCTGAGCCGGGCGGGCCCTCCACAGGTTAGCAGTCTCTGATCGCTGAAGATAGGAAATCGGAAAACAAAACAAAAAACCCGAGCTGAAAACGAACAGACTTACCTCCTGGCCCGCAGAAGATCCACTAGACCGCCGGCTCCAAGATCCGCGAGGCCCCAGACAGATTCCAAATCCGCAGGCAGAGTTCTTTTGAGACTTCAGGAGTTCGGCAAGGTTTCTAGAAATCACTACTGGCAGATTCCGGATATCTCAGACCTGCAGGTAGATCTCGAATCCGCAGACTTGCAGGCGAAGCCCAGAGATCCCTAAGACTCACACAGATCCGGAGGACTCAGACTCACAGGCAGCCCAGAAACCACAGGCTCAGAGGCAGGTCCCCCAGAGACCACAGCAGCTAGCCAAGGAACACCAGCAGCAGCTACGCTGCATGCAGCTGGATTTCTTCCGAACGGAAGGACTTGTCCCCTTCTCCTTCCCCAGCCAGGATGAGAAAATGAGACAATGGAAGCCCGGCACTGGGGAAAGCAGGCATTCTGCGTGGAGAAGCGCTCTGAGCCCGCTGTAGCCTTGGAGAGGGAAGTGATGGAAAAAGAATATAGCAGCTTATTAGGGACTCCCACCCTCTTCAAGTTATAAATATCCCCAGAACCTTGGCTATGTGCCCAGAAGCCTGTTGTCTCTAACTGTACCGGAGACTTCTCTGCCTGCGCTGGGAAAGGGGCTTTTCTTTTGTTTTGCAGATACACTGGGTGACTTGAATTTTTTTTTTTTCCTCTCGAATATGACTCCAGGCTGTGCTTTTATTAGTGGGTGTCCTGTTCCCAGTGCCCAGTTATTTATGGTTAAATTACTCAAGTGTCTGAAAAGAACTAGAGCTCTATCCAGCCATGAGGCAGACTCCCATTCCACACCCCCAACTGTGAGGCTAGAAATTCTTTAGCTCCCACAAAATTGTACCATCTTACCCCACCTAACATTGATATGGCTACGCTACACACAAAAAAAGTTTAAAAAAATGGAATCACAGAGGGTTCCCGAAGGCAGCCAAGGTCAGACAGACCTGGGTTGAAATCCAGGCTGTATATCCTTTGAAAAACATTTAACCTTCCCAGGCCCATTTCTCTTTCTGTAAAATGGGATAATCACACCTAAGGTGATGATGGTGAGGACCGAGATGACTAAAAGAGCGCACCCAGATAATAGCTGTTACTAATCCTGCCGAGGGTGCAGGGAAGACGTCCAGAACGTGAGCATTTTCCGTGGATATTTTCATCGGCTCAGAAAATCTGGGAAAGTCCGAGTGGCTCCATCGCTGTGAGGATCGGCTGGTGACCTTATTCTCACATCATGTTTCTGCTGGAAATCCAGAGGGAACTCGAAGTTGGACCAGTTTGGTGGGTTCAGACAAATCGGTGGATTGAGCCCAGCAGAGCAGAGAGATTTGGAGCTGCCAAGATCCCAGCAAGTTAGGGCCTCACCCTTAGGAAAACCTCTGGGTCAAGGGAGAGCAGGTCATACTTTGGCTGATAGTGTAATTACAGGTTTCTAACTGGGCCTGAGGTGAGGTGAGCTGAGCGCCCCAGCCCCTGAGCCCAGCAAGGCTCCCTTTTCACTCCTTCTCGGACAGATTGCTCTGTAAACTTTCTTAGGCCTTTTCCTCTCCCTTGCTCCAGTGCTTTAAACCCTTCTTTGTCCTCAGCTGTTTCTTTTATTCCTAGGCCTGGCTGGGGGCAGGGCACCTCTCTCAACCCAATCCGGCTTGGCTGCTTGCCGCCTCCTGTGAGGAAGTGCTTTCCTCTTTCTTCACCTGGGACCCTCCAGAGGGTGGAGGGGAGAGGCTGAGAGAGATGGGGGGCTGACTTCTTTTGGCGGCCCTGGGGTAGGGGCGGTAGTGGGGGGAGTAGGAGAGGGGGAGGAGAGAAAGTGGGTGAGGGGCTTCCTGTCCAGCCTTTGGCCGGACTCTGAGGGTTGGGTCACTGGAGGAGGAAGTGACTTCCTGCCTCATTGTTCAGGACTTCGTTGTTTCTCGGGAATATTGTATGTGGGTTTTCAATAACCAATTTGGAAAAATATTTGTCCCATCACTTAGCAAACGACAAGCACCTACTGTTTGCAGAGGGAGCAGCACAGCCTATCACTGGGGAAAGGGGCCAGGAGAACCGTTTGTCCAGGATCTCCAGGTGGAATTATAGGTTATGTCAGAGTCACTACCAATTTAATCAAAGATGCTCCTAGTATATCTTTAAGCTTGTTTCTTAATAGACCACAGTGCCTATGGAGCACTGTAAGTTGTTATGTTTTAATAAATCTATAATTATCTTGTGAGCCGCACAATTATGTTGTAATTTTTTTGAATTAGAAGCATTAATTTGTTAAACATTGGAAAATATGCCTTAATATTTGTGATCTTGTTTTGTCATTTCTTCATTTTCAAATATACGAGTTACATATATATAATATATATATATTTTTAATACAGTAACCTGGGCTTCTCTCTTGACGCAGCTAGGAGCAGAGATGAAGCCTCCACACAGCAGGAGTTGGGAACATGGGGACACATTGACTTGCAGCCCACCTGCTATAGTATACGAATGATGAGCTGGCTAGTCTGCACCAAGAAGAGGGGTGCACTCATTGCTGGCGTATGGGAGGAGGCTGCAAAGAGGAGATGACATCAGAGCTGGCTAGCAGACTGTAGGACTCTTAGAGGTGGCAAACGAGGGGAGGGACAGCGCTTTCCTGTCTTCAAACTCGGCATGTGCGAAGTCATGGAGGCATGAAAGGACAGGATGTTCCAGAATGGTCGGGATTGGGTATGGCTAGAAGGAAGAGTGTGGGGGTGGAGTGCCAGGGGAAGGGAACACAGCAGGGACAGTCTCTTATGCCCCCTTGCCTGCTGCCTGTTTGTCTCTGCCTTTGGCTGTGGGTCAGCAAAAGCCGGTGGTGTGTGTGTGTGTGTGTGTGTGTGTGTGTGTGGTGGGGGAGGGCAGCTGGGGCTGGCCTGGGGCAAGAAGAGCAGGTTGACCATTCAGGAAGAGGGGGAGTGCAGAGGATTGGGAAGCTCTTTATGACCTTCCTGCATGTCAGCTGGTCTTCTGAGAGAATCAACATTTTAAAAAAATGTCAACAATTGCATTAAAAATGTACAACAAACTAACTTAGTTTGTTTAGATTACTCAAAGGCATCAAATAAGCCCATACTCACCAAGCATGTTTACTGGGTCTGTTTTGTACCAGACACTGTGCTAGGAGATAGAACACTCCCTCACACAGTGACTGCAGGGCTGTGTGATGAATTTTGAGAGGGCCCGACAGGTAGCTCAGTTAGTGAAAACAGATTTGATCTGTCTTCAGAACACATACAAAAAACAACCAATGCAAGCATAAAGAAGTGGAATAGCCCTAGCCAGTTTTGCTCAGTGGTTAGAGTGTTGGCCTAAGGACTGAAGGGTCCCAGGTTCCATTCTGGTCAAGGGCTTCATCCCCGGTCCAGTTGGGATGCGTGCAGGAGGCAACCCATCAATGTGTCTCTCTCACATCATATTTCTCTCTGTCTCCCTCCCTTCCACTCTCTCTAAAAGTCAATGGAAAAAATATTCTCTGGTGTGGATTAATAAAACAAAAACAAAGCAAATAAAAGTGAAACAAGTCAATGTCTCTCCCTTCCCCTCTCTCTAAAATAAAAAAGATTTAATTTGAGAATGGCTACAAAAAACAGGAGCACAGCGGAGTGCCTGGGTTCCC